CTGGTCAAGGATCTTGCCTTCACCTTGTAAAACTACACCTTGAAGTGCATCTAGTAGATTGCTTGTCTCCATTTTGTTTAATTCTATTCCTGGAGTTTTGCTCTGGGTCCTGAACATGTTTCTTTGTCTTCTCATTTTGGCAGCCCGGCCCTCCTGTGTTTGATTCTGTGTGTTAGGTAGAACTACTATGTCTCCTGCACTTGGTAGAATGGCCTTTTGAAGTAGGTGTCCAGTAGGGTCCAGTGGCACAGCCTCCCCAATCACCTGAGCTGGGCACTCCAGGTGTGGCTCTGCTCCCTCCCCCCAAAACCCTGTGTGGGCTGTTGCTCTACAACCATGGAGAAACAGCTGTGCAGGGGTCGACCCCACAGAGCAGGATGTACTTCAGTGGGCTCTGGTGCCTTCTGAGTCCGCCCTTTGAGTGCATTCCTGGTGGGGAGGATATTGGGTGTTCTTTGACATGGTCTGAAACTCTACTTTCTGCCCTTTCCAGGGCCATTCAGCATGAGCTACAAAGCAATCTGCAGGTGGCTGTTACTTGTACTGGGCTTGGAGGTGCCCAGGAGAGACCAAAGCTATGAACCAAGACTGGCTGCCACTAGTGCTGGGCCTGGGGCCACATAGTGAGAGGTATGAGACATGCCAAGGCCAAAAATAATGACTTAATGTGGGGTTAATAGCATATATAGAAGTAAAACATAGAACAAAACAGCACAAAGGAATTGTGAGACCTCTAAATTTATTCCCTTCAGCCCCTACCCCAAGATTTTTTTGACTCTTGAGATTCCACATCAATTTCAGGATTTCCCCCCCTATTCTTCAAAAAATGAAAATAAATGCCATTGGGATGTTGATAGAGATTGCATTGAATCTGTATGTTGCTTTGAATAGTATGGACATTTAAATAACATTAAGTCTTCCAACCAATCCACAAGATAGGATATCTTTCCACTTATTTTTACCTTCTTTGGTTTCTTTTTAAGCAGTGTTTTATAGTTTGTGTGTCTTTCATCTCCATGGTTAAATTTTATCCCTAAGTTCTTTATCCTTTCTTTATACTATAACGAATGGGATTGTTTTTTAAAATTTCATTTTAGTATGGTCATTGCAAATGTATACAAGTGCAGCTGATTTTTGTATATTGATTTTGTGTCCTGCAACTTTGCTGAAATTTATTAGTTACAACAGGTTTTTGTGTTTTTTTTTTTTTGTTTTGTTTTGTTTTTTCGGGTGGGGAGGATCTTTATTGTTTTCTACAGATGAAATCATGTTATCTGTGAACAGAGGTAATTTTATTTTTTCCCCATTTTTTCTTTGTGTTTTATTGTTACTTGTCTTACTGCTTTAGGGTATGTACTATGTTGAATAGTAGTGGGTATCCTTTCTTGTTTTTGATCTTAGAGGAAAAGCTTTCAGTCTTTTACCACTAAGTATGTTGTGAGCTTTTCATTATATTGAGGGAAATTCCTTTTATTTCTAGTCTGTTAAGTGTTTTTATCATGGAAGGGTGTTGGCCTTTGTCATATGCTTTTTCTGCATCACTTAAGATAACTATGTGGTTTTTGTCCTTTATTTGTTAATGATTGATTTTCATGTGTTGAACCAGTCTTACATTCCAGGTATACATTTCATTTGGTCACAGTTATAATCCTTTTAATGTGCTGTTGAATTTTTTTTGCTAGTATTATATTTTTATATCAATATTTATTAGGGATATTGGTCTATATTTTTCATGTTGTAGTTTTGATAGCAAAGTAATGCTGAGTTTAGAGATGTTTCCTCCTCTTCAATTCTTTGGGAGACTTTGAGGGATATTGTTGTTAATTCTTCCTTTAAATGTTGAGTAGAATTCTCCATTAATGCCATTTAATATTAGGCTTTTCTTTGTTGAGAGATTCTTTATTACTTTTTAATTCTCTTCACTGGTTATGGGTCTGTTTAGATTTTTTATTTCTTCACTATTCAGTCTTAGCAGTCTATATATTTCTAAGAATTTGTCCATTTCTTCTAGGTTACCTGATTTGTTGTGTATAATTGTTCATAGTACTCTCTTATAATCATTTTTATTTCTGTGACATCAGTTTTAATATCTCCTCTTTCATTTGTAATTTTAGTTGACTTCTTTTTTTCATAGTCTAGCTAAGGATTTATCAATTTGGTTGGTCTTCTAAGAAAACCAACTCATTTTCTGTTTTAGTATGTTTGGGCTGCTATAATAAAATACCACAGATTGGGTGTAAACAATAGAAGTTTATTTTTCACAGTTCTGGAATCTTGGAATTCCAAGATTAAGGTGTCAGGATGGTCACATTCAAATGGAAACCCTTCTCCTGGTTCATAGCTGACAATTCTAAGTGTTTCTCTGGGTCAATTTTATGAGGGCTCTACCCCATGACTTAATCACCCCCACACCCCTAATACCATAATCTTTAGGGTTTGGATTTCAACAGTTACGTTTTGGGAGGATACAGATATTTATACCATAGCAGGTTTGTTGACTTTTTTCTATTGTCTTTCTAGTCTACTTTATGTATTTGTGCCTAATCTTTATTATTTCTTTCCTCTATTAACTTTGGGTTTAGTTTGGTTTTCTTGTCTCTTGAGGTGTGATGTTTAAATGTAAGGGTTTACTGCTCTGAACTTACCTGGGGCCTGCAGGCTGGGGGAAGCTCCTGCATTGAGTGTTTGCCCCCTAATGGTCAGTGCATGTCATAGAGACCGGTTGTTCCACCATTTGGTTGATTTGCATATTAGGCTTTTATTATATAGGATAGTTCCTGATTTCAAATATGTTTAGTAATTTTTGATTGAATTCTTGAAATTGTAAGTTTTACACTGTTGAAGTCTGGATTTTGTTTTAGTTTAAGAAGTTACAGACTTTTTCTGGTAGGCAGTTATCTTTGAATAGGCTGTGTTTTGAGGCTTGTTTTTTGTTAAATATATTTTATTGATTTTTTCCAGAGAGGAAAGGAGAGGGATAGAGAGCTAGAAACATCGATGAGAGAGAGACATTGACCAGCTGCCTCCTGCACAACCCCTAATGGGGATGTGCCCGCAGCCAATGTACATGCCCTTGACCAGAATTGAATCTAGGACCCTTCAGTCTGCAGACCAACGCTCTATCCACTGAGCCAAACCGGTTTCGGCTTGAGGCTTGTTTTTAATCTCCTTTTGGGAGAATCAAGAGTAGCCTCTATATTTTGGTAATGCTGTCTCCTTTCTAAAATATGGCTATTCAGGTATTGTTTCTGAGTGTCCTTTGTATTTGCAAGAGTTCTCTCAGCTTTTGTTGCTGGGAAGGATTCTCAGCTTTGCGTGATCTCTGGGAGGAGTTGTTTTAGAGTTCCCTGGTCATGGTTTTCCCTTAGGAAATTGATTTTGCTGAGCTTTGTAGTGTTTTTTTGTAAGCATGTGCAGATTGGCGTTAGTCAAGAAAACTTCTGGGTTGCTGGACCTCTTTCTCTGCATACCTCTCTTCTTGAAGGTATTCAGTAATAAAATTTCATTTTCCTTGCCACTCCACAACCCATCTCTTGTTTCTTCAACTTAGCAAAAATGCTGGGCTCCACTTGGATTCCTTTTTCCCTGTGCTTTAGTCTGCCCAAACTTCTTGATCCTAAAGTCTTGATAATGCGGCTGATCTCGTCCCCTTTTCTCAGGGATCTCAGTTCTGAAATGCCTTATATCTAATGTCTGAAAATAGTTGTTTCCTGTATTTGTTGAGTTTTCTGGTTGTTTACAACAGACAGATAATTCTGGATCCGGTAACTTTTTTTGTGTTCAGAAGTGGAAATTCTGTAATTGATACTTCTGAATTTTTTTGTTTTGTTTGAACTTTCAAAAGCTTTGGACATGGTCAAGCACTAACTTCTTGTCCTACATGACCTCATTTCTTAAACATTGATGTTTTTCTAGGAGCTGTTTTCTCCCTGACCCTGATTTCTTTTTAGAAATTTTCTTGATGATTTTATCCCTTCTCATGTCTTCAGGCCTCATCTATGTTCTGGTGGTACAAAAAATAATATTTTCAACTCATCTCTTTTGGGATTCAAATATACTCTTGCTTGCTGGAAATCTACATTTGGAAGAGTTGACTTAAACACTTAATATTCCCCCTCCAAATTGTTTTCTACTAGTGTTCTTAGCTTAAATGACATTAAATCAAAGGCTTAAGAGATATCTCAACTCCTCTCTTTCCCTCATCATCCTATATTTAATCCAAACCACTACCTGTTGATTATGCCTCTTGAATAGTTTATCTTCTATCCATTCTTACTACGTATTAGGATTATATTCTTTGCATCCATATATGGATTAAGATTCTAAATAGTTTCCCTTTTCTATTGTTGCTCATTGCATGTCCTTCCTCTGCATTACATATAGTAGGTATTGCAGTGACTTTATTAATTTCATACATATTATTACATATATATTATGACATGATTATGCTTATATATACTTATTTATTAATATATATACTTCTGTATTTGTGTGTGTATATGTGGGACTTTATCCTATAGAATACTAATACATAGGTGAGTTGTCTTATGCATAAGCTTATTTATCAAAGTGTTGTTTATAATAGCAAAAGGGAACCTGTGTGTTCATAAATAAGGAATTGGTGAGTAAGAGATGCTATATCTTTGCAATCAAGTAGAATGTAGATGTACGGGAAAAAGGAATAAGGATGCTTTCTATGTACTTTTTAAAGATCTCCAACATGAGTTACATTTAAGTGAAAACAGCCAAGTGCACAACAGCATGTATAAAAAAGAACGTGTGTAAAAATGCTGGGTTGAAAATGGGGAGAAGTAAAAACATATTCATTTTGTATAAAAGTTTCACAAGAAGCTAAATAAAAGTGGGTTGGAAGGAGACTACTTACTGTATACACTTTTATATTTGAGTTTTGAACCATTTGAATGTATTACCTCTTTAAAATAAAATTAAAAATTTTATTAAAGGTCTTAAATATTTTCTTCTTGTCTTTTTGTCACTAGTAAGCTAAAAAAGCTGAGTGAAGACAGTTTGACTAAGCAGCCTGAAGAAGTTTTTGATGTATTAGAGAAACTTGGGGAAGGGTAAGTATAAAACATATGAAAATACCATTTACTTTTGTATATGTGTGTGTGTTTGCATAGTCTCTTTACCTCACAGTTTCATTTATAAACAATTATAAAGATGCTATATAATATAAAGTTTTCTATTTGCTTGAGTAGAATAGTAACAGTATGGAAGGAACATACCTCAACATAATAAAGACCATATATGACAAGTCCACATTTAACTTCATATCGGTGAAAAGCTGAAAGATTTCTTCTAAGATCCGGAATAAGACATGTATGGCCACTCTGGCTACTTTCATTCAACATAGTATTGGAAGTCCTAGCCAGAGCAGTTAAGGCAAGAAAAAAGAAATACAGAGCATCCAGATCAGAAAGGAAGAAGTAAAATTGTCTCTGTTCACAGTTGACATAATACTAAATAGAGATTCCACAAAACTGTTAGAATTAATAAATGAATTTAGTAAAGTTGCAGAATATAAATTAATATACAAAAAGTTGCATTTTTATAACTATAAGAAAGAGAAATTATGAAAACAATACAATTTATAATTACATCAAAAAGAATAAAATACCTAGAAATTAATTTAATCAAGATGGTGAAAAATCTGCACACTGGAAGCAATGATGAAAAAATTTAAGAAGACATTAATAAATGGAAAAATATTCTGTGCTCATTGATTGAGAGAATTAATATGTTAAAATGTCCATTCTATGCAAAGCAATCTATAGATTCAGTACAATCTATTAATATTCCAATAGCATTTTTCACAGAAATAGAACAAAGAATTCTAAAATTTAGATAGAATTGTAAAAGATAACTAAAAGTTGAAGCAATCTTGGGGAAAAAAACAACCACCAGATTTGGAGGAATTATGTGCTTTGATTTTAAATTATATTATAAAGTTATATTATAGTAATCAAAACAGTATGACATTAGTATAAAAACAAACACATATAATAGCTCAGAAATAAGCCCATGGATGTATAGTCAATTTATGACAGAGGAGCCAAGAATATACAACCAGGAAAGGATAGTCTCTTTAATAAATGATGTTTAGAAAACCAAACAGCTACATGGAAAATTCTGATATTGGACCCCTATTTTGTACCATACACAAAAATAAAATTAAAATGGATTAAAGACTTGAATGTAAGATCTGAAACCATAAAACTCCTAGAAGAAAAGAGGAGACAAATAAGCTTCTTGACATCTGTCTTGGCAATAAACTTTTGAATTTGCTACCAAAATACAAAGATAACAAGAGGAAAAATAAAGGAGTGGGACAATATTCTAAGCAGCTCTACATAGCAAAAGAAACGATCAATAAAATAAAAAGTCAACTTGTGGGATGGGAGAAAATATTTGTAAGTCATATATCTGAGAAGGGGTTAATATCCAAAGGACATAAAGAACCCTTGCAACTCAATACAAAAAACCAAACATTGCAGTTAAAAAATGGGCAGAGAATCTGAACAGACACATCTCAAAAAGGACATATGGAAGGCCAATCGATATAAGAAAAGATGCTCAACATCAATAATTGTCAGAAAATGCAAATGAAAACTATAATGAGGTATCACTTCACATATGTCAGAATGGCTACCATCAATAAATCCATAAATGACCAGTGTTGGCCAGGATGGAGAAAAGGGAACCCTTGTGCACTGTTGGTGGAATGCAGATTGGTGCAGCCACTATGGAAAACAGAATGGAGTTTCCTCAAAAGATTAAAAATGGGCCTGCCTTACTACCCATTGATTCCACTATCAGGGATTTATATGAAGAAACCCAAAACACTAATTCAAAAGAATACATATACCCCTATGATCATTGCAATATTATTTACTGTAGCCAAGATTTGGAAGCAGCTCAAGTGTCCATTAGTAGATGAGTGGATAAAAAAACTGTGATCCATTTATACAATGGAATACTACTGGCCATAATAAAAGGAAATTCTTGCCTTTTGCTACAGCATGGAGGGATCTGGAAATTATGCTAAGTGAAATAAGCCAGTCAGAGAAAGACAAATACCATATGATTTCACTTATACGTGGAATTTAATGAACAAAATAAACTGACGAACAAAATAAACAGAAACAGACTCATAGATCCAGACTGACAGCTGTGAGTGTGTGGTCTTCCTCTTGAGAAGATGACAGTGAAAGGAGCATTTGAGGATGCTTTGGATCCATGACTTAGGAGGGAACATATTCCCTGCTTCCCTAACTTCGGAATCACGTAGTCCCCAACTGAGGGGTTCAGTTGCCCTTAAGCAGTCTGAACAGGCATGGAACTTTATTATTTTGGGAATAATTTTGCTTTAGGTGAGATTAGTCTTTGTTCCTAACTTGAGACTTCGGCGGTTTTTATTCTGTATTTCATTCTTTTTCTTTTTAAAAATAGTTTACTGATTTTTAGAGAGAGAGGAGGGATAGAGATAAACATCGATGTGAAAATGCAGTATTGACTGGCTGTTTTCTGCACTCCTCCTTCCTTAAAAATAGAGCCCGAAACCCTGGCATGAGCCCTTGCCTGGGAATCAAACCAGCAACCTTTTGGCTCACGGGACAACACCCAACCAACTGAACCACACTGGCCAGGGCTTTATTTCATTTTTTTTTGGTTTTGTTTTGTTAATTTTCACCTGAGGATATTTTTTCCATTGCTTTTCTGAGAGAGTGAGAGGAAGGGAAGAAGAGGGAGAGAGTGAGAAAGAGAGAAACATTGATGTAAGATACATCAACTAGTTGCCTCCCACATCCACCCTGATGAAGGTCAGGGAGCAAACCCGCAACCCACTTATGTGCCCTTGGCTGGGAATCAAACCCATGACCCTTTGGTGAATGGGCTAACACTCTAACTACTTAGCAACACAGGCCAGTGCTATTTATTATTTTAATTTCCATTTTTATTTTCTTAATGCTGCATTTGTTTGAGTTGATAAGCTGTAAGTCTCTTTCATTTATAAGAAAAACAATCTTTATATATTAACGATTTTAAGAGATTTTTAAGTCAATAATTGAAGCATTAAAGCTAAAGTATAATTAACTTTTCTTATTTGTTTGATTTGTCATCATTAAATCATGCTTTAAACTAGGAAAGACTGTGTTCACAAACTGTAGACTCTCTAATAGTTATGATGTTTGAAAGGAAAAAATAAATGTCTTGGTTTCTTTTAGGTCTTATGGAAGTGTATTTAAAGCAATACACAAGGAATCTGGTCAAGTTGTGGCAATTAAACAAGTACCTGTTGAGTCAGATCTTCAGGAAATAATCAAAGAAATTTCCATAATGCAGCAATGTGACAGGTATGAAGAGCTTTAATTTTTTTTTTGTTTTCCTTCATTTTGATGAGTTTTGCTAACAATGTATAATAAAACTAGAGGCCAGGTGCATGACAATTGTGCACTTGGGTGGGTGTGTCCCTCAGCCCGGCCTATGCCCTCTCATAGTCCAGGAGCCCTTGGGAAATGTCCAACGGACAGCTTGGGCCTGCTCCCCACTGGGAAAGAGCCTAAGCCATTAGACATCCGTACTGCTGCCATGGAGGCAGAAGAGGCTCCCTCCACCGCCACTGCACTCGCCAGCTGTGAGCCCGGCTTTTAGCTGAGTGGCGCTCCCCCTATGGGAGCACACTGACCACCAGGCCCAGCTCTTGTGTTGAGCGTTTGCCCCCTGGTGGTCAGTGCATGTCATAGCGACTGGTCATTCTGCTGTTTGGTTGATTTGCATATTAGCCTTTTATTATATAGGATGTGTTATTTGGTCATCTGTTTAGTTTTCTGACTTCCGTTGGAAGTGAGACTAAAATCCTTGTCTTTCGGACTTACAGCTCTTAAGCAGAATTAATGATATAAAGCAGCAAGTGGTGGTAGAAAATACTCAATTTTCCCATTTTTCAGGGCGAATTTATGGGTGAAAATTATTTTTTTATGTTAAGGGGGGGGGTGTCATTTAATAGTCTTTTTTATATTACTCTTTTAAAAATAATCTTATGTAACTAATTCATTAAAAGAACATTTGCTGAGCATCCCTAATGGGCCAGGAATTGTTGCAGAATCTAGGAATACAAGAGAGCTAAAAATAAATAGCTATAATAAAGCTGAGTCACTATACCGACTGGTGTGGGAGGTGATGTGAGAACAAGGAGGCAGGGCACTTATCTTAGCCAGGAGTCGGAAGTCTGGAATGCTGAGGAAGAGTTAAACTGGTGAAGAAATGGAGGGATGTGAGAGAGTATAGAGGATTACAGGTAAGTGCTCACTGGTGTATGCTATTCTGACAAGGTTTAAATGACTGGAATGGAAAGTATGAGACTGAGATTTGTGTGACCTGAGTTGTAAGTAAACGGAGCTGATCATGAAGGGGCTTAGTACGCCTATTAAATGACGTGAGGATGCAGAGTGTATAAATGATGACTGTATTTAGCCTATAATTACTTAAAGTAATAAAATTTATTATTCTCCCTTTACAAAAGGTCTAGAGTTAGGGCTGGTATAGCAGCACCAGTGTAATGACTCTTAGGCTTCTTTTCTTATGTTGTGCTATTCTCAGCATGTGGCCTTTGCTTTCATGTTTGTGGTCTCATGATAGTAAGAGGGCTGCTCCAGCTTCAGCCTTATGTCTGTATAGCAGGAGGGAGAAGGGAAGAAGCAGGAAAGGGCTTTCCCAGAACCCCCTAGCTAATGTTTTATTTATTAGAATTGGCACACAGTGACTTAGAACCAGTGACTTAGGGGAGTCTGGACACATTATCACCCCTGGTCAAAACAGGGGCGCTTATTAGTAAGAGATCTATGGAAAACTGTCTCTTCCAACAGTATATAAGATCCTTATAAGTTTGTTGGCTCATGAAGTGACTGAATAATTTTAGAGGAATGTTGTTCTTAGGTGTGTTTAATTTTGCTTTTCTTTACTGTGTGTTATATATTTAGATTATGTTACATATTTCCCATTAAGGCTGTGTAACAGGAAATTCAAGTGGTTATAGAAAAATATTATATTCCCCAGTCTTCAGTCCCCAGATCAAAAAATATAATTACAAAATTTCCCCAGAATTTCTATTTGGTACTAGATACAGAAAATAAAAAAATATGCTTACTACAGTCTCTTGCATGCATTGACTACCATAACCTTCTAAGTGGTCTACCTGTGTTCATGTTTGCTTTCCTACATTCTAGCTTTGAAACAGCAGAGAAATCTTTAAACTTCTTTGATCTTATCTTGCATGACTAATAAAGCCCAATCTTCTTTTCTTGGTTTTAAATTCTTTGTTGTTCTACTCCTGCTTCTCGCTGCAACTCCACTGTGTTCTACCTGACTCTTCACTCACCTTATTCTAGGCAAACTGGTTTTTGATTCCTGAAAATGACTTGCTCTTTCTCTCCTAAGGGCTTTTACACAGACAGTTCTTGGCTACTGAATGCTTTTCATCTGTCAACCTTTGAATCTTAGCTTCATTGTTATTCCATTGGGCGGGCCTAAATTAGATCCCTTCTATTAATTTTTCTGTGATTGTTCATTTGTTCACTTACATTTGTACATGTAAGAAGGGAGGCTCTGAGGAAGAATGTAGAGTGAGACAGATGATTGGCACCTATCTTCATAGAGCTTCTTTTCTTCTGGGGGAGGCAGATAAAATCAATGACAGTAATGACAAGATCTAAGTGCTTTAAAGGTAAAAAGAGTACTGATATGAAGGTTATCAGAGGATGGCCAGGAGTAGGCCACTATAGACATAAAACCTTAAGCATTTCTCTCTTTTCCAAACCTAATTTGTAACCCACACACTCAATGAGGGAGGTTATTTTATTGTTTATAGCAAACCCATATCTACTTTTGAAGTTTTATGCCCTAGTTGGTTTGGCTCAGTGGATAGAGCCTCGGCCTGCGGACTGAAGGGTCCCGGGTTCGATTCTGATCAAGGGCACATGCCCAGGTTGCAGTCTGCATCCCCAGTAGAAGGAATGCTCATTGATGTTTCTGTCTCTCTCTCCCTCTCCCTTCCTCTTTGAAATCAAGTTTCTTCATATATTCCAAGCCAGAGGCTACCATGAAATATGGATGTACTTCATTTTTTCATATGAGCTAGGATTACTTTTGTTTACCAAAGTGTTGAATGCAAAATAAATTATTAGCTAGTTTTTCTCATAACACCTTTTCTTACCACAGTAATTATATTTATTTGTGGGTTTGCTTCTCTAATATCTGTGTATTTGATGTAGATGTGTGCTGTATGAGAGTCAGGATTGTATCTGTTTGGTTCACCACTGCAAATTGAACATCTGGTCTAATTTCTGACTTAAGTAGAATGAATGAATGAATGAATGTTGAGTAAATGATAGGAATTACGTTTGGATGTGAGTCTTTAATGTGGCTGTTGAATTCTATCTGCTTAAATAATTTTCTAGGTTAAAATAATGAGACCATGTTTTATGATATTGTGTTACAATCATGTTGAGCTTTGATCCATTTATGATTGTGTATTAGAATGGGTCACACATTATTTTTTGAAAATAATTTTACCTTGCCCCAAAGGATTTTTTTTAGGCTCAGACCTAAAGGGAGAGAGAGTTGCCTTTTCAGGTAGCTGCCCACATTAGAATTACTAATTTTTCTAAAAGCTGCCACTTATACTAATAGAATTGCCAATTACTTAGTGTATACTGCAAAATAAAATATATATATATTTTCTGTAATTTAAATAAAATTTTAAATCGTCACCAAGAATATTTTTCCATTGATTTTTAAAGAGAGTGTAAGAGGGAGGGAAAGACAGAGAGAAATATCAATGTGAGAGAAACACATCGATTGGTTGCCTTTGTCCAGGGAGAAATCTATAACCGAGGTACATGCCCTTGACTGGAATCGAACCTGGGACCCTTCTGTCTGCGGGCCAATGCTCTATCCACTGAGCCAAACTGGCTAGGGCCATATACATTTTCTATATGCTTTTTCAGTGAATATAATCTTGAACTGACTGGTACTTAATATCTTTCAAAAGTTTGAATGAGAAAATGAATATTTAAAGAGTTTTTTGAAGGATGTGCAATATGTGTTGTAAAATTTGTGGGTCTATTCAAAGGCACCTATAGAGCTTTTAAAAGACCTACTGAATTAGAACATGTAAGGTCTGGGTCAAGATGGTTCTGATGCATAGCCAGGTATTAGAGCAATACTCCCTATAAAGGCTAACACACAGCCACTCACACTCCATGGAAAAGTATGTAAGGAAGCTTTTCAGTGTTTCTTGTAAGTTGAAGTTCTTAAATGGCTCCTTCAGTGAATACTTATGAACTCCTAATATATTCTTTATAGTCCCAAGATCTAGCAAAGTTGAGTATGTCTGTAAATTTCACCCCCTACCGGGGATGTGCCTGCAACCAAGGTACATGCCCTTGACCAGCATTGAACCTGGGACCTTTCAGTTCACAGACCGACACTCTATCACTGAGCCAAACCGGTTTTGGCTAAATTTAAGATGTGGGATGGTAGTAATGAGAGATATAGGTAGAGAGGTAGACTTTGAAAGGTTTTTATGTGTTACAAAGCAGTTAAGACTTTTTCCTTTCAGAGCTTTTTATTTCTTAATTGAGAGAGCAATATGATCAGCTTATTTTACTTTTGATTTAAAGGGAGGTTACCTTGTCAACTCTATGGGGGCAGAAAACTATGACAAGGAAGTAATTCTGTGCAAGAGATAAAGAGGAGCAATGGGGATGAATCAGAATTAAATTTTAGCCTTACAGCTACCGGTATTGGTTTAAGCCTTTTAAGCGCTAACCAATCTGCTCTACCCTTGACTTCAGGACAGCTGAAGTTATAAAGACTCTGCTGAGAAGTCGCCCCAGACTTTTTTTGGTGGTCTCTTTATGTAGTCTTTTCTACTAATTTCCATTTTTATTGTTGTTTTGCTTATTTAATTCCTGTGTCTTATTTATCTTACACTGATGACACTTTTCATGATAGCTGCTACTGCAAAAAAAATCTATTGAACAAGTTGTCCCCTAAACATACCATTTTTAATTCTTTCCTTTCTATTTATGTGCCTTTGCTGAGGGCCTTTCCCTTTTCTCGAATGTTAATATGTCTCATTTCTACCCACATTTTGAAGTATAACCTTTTTTTCATAAGTCAGCTCCCTTCTTTTCTACAGAGTTTTCTCTGATGGCTCCTGCATGGCCACATCCTCTTTGAGCTCTTATAGCATTTTAGCTCTCTACTGTTAGTTTATGTCACCTCGTAATTTTCATCTTTTTATGTGAATATGGATTGTATGCCTCTTTGAGTTCTGCAAAGTGTTTTACACATCGCTGTATATAGCATACCCTTAATAAATTTCATGGTGGTCATTTTTCTTTTTGTTAAGTCTTCCTAAAACAACTTGGTTATAAACACAGTTTATTCTGCTCTGAAAGACATAAAATCTTAGTTCAGAAATACTTTAACTTGTTAAAAATTTTAATTATCTGAATTTAAAGCAGAAATATTCCCCCCCCCCCCGCTTCCGAATTTTCAAAGGTCAAAATGAAAGAGAATTAAAAAATTTTTTTTGTCTCATTGAAATATAAAGCCTTTTAAAGTTGAGTGTTAATATTTTATTTGAAAAATCCTTTAGAAGATTTGTATTTAAAATGCTTTAGTTAATGAAAAATACTTTCATTTGTTTCTTATGTTTAATAGTAATTTTTTACCAAAGCAAGCCTTAGTTGCTTGGGAATCACTGAAAACATTTGGGCCTCTTCTGGTTTGCAATCCTCTTAAATTTCATCCATCAATTAAAGACTAATTAAGATAGTTGGTGAACTCTACATATAGACAAATCAGTGTATAATAGAACTTTAGCAATTAAGTTTACTTATGGGAACATTATGAAATGTTGAAATACTTTGCTTTGGGATTAAGAAATCATTTTCTTTGGGAATTAACTAAGCTTAATTGTCGATATATTTTTTTATAGCCCCTATGTTGTAAAGTACTATGGCAGTTACTTTAAGAACACAGACCTCTGGATTGTTATGGAGTACTGTGGTGCTGGCTCTGTCTCGGATATAATTAGATTACGAAACAAGACAGTAAGTATTTTTAAATTGTTTGTTAATCTTGTTTCTAAAGATTCATATTTAGAATCTGACTAGGTAATATTTTGTTAAAAGAAAATATTAGTGTGGAAAAAAGAAAGTTTTAGAGTGTAAAAGGATCTAATTTAAGGCATGAGAACCAGCTACATATCTTTATGGCAAACTTAGAAGTCATATGATTGTGTAATTTATTTATTGGGATTAATTTTTGGTAAGTCACCAAGAACTTACTATGGTGCTTCTCTTTTTTCATTTTGTATCATTATGCACAATCTTTATTAACTTGAGTTCAATAAATTATGGCTAGAATTTTATTTAAAGTTCATAGTATTTATGGCATTTCTTTACTTCAGTTTTCTATATTATAATCTATGACTGGTAAACAGTAGAAGTTTTATATTTCTGAATTTTTAAAAATAATTGAAAAATAATTCTTGTCTTTATTTTTCCAAATAATACTGTCAGGATATTTGAAAGTGATAGAGTTAGATTATAGTGTTGTAATTTTGTGAATTTAGCTTAGTGAAAGATGTTGTTAATATAGCTTTTGATGGTTATATTTTAACCCTAAGTAAAAGTTATCTATTTACAAAATTGTTTACTTTCAGCCAGCTATACATCTAGTTTTCTTAGATAATTTGTAAGGACAAGAGTGCCCTTTTAATCTGTGAACGATTCAGAATAATCATCAGTAAAATAATTTGTAATTTTGTAGAACAGTAATCCAGTTACTATATGACATTATTATATGTTACCAGACATGTTTAGTAGAATACATTCAGAAAAATATTTAACTATTTGAGTCAATTTGTGGTTAACCAGAATCATTTTAAAGTTCGATTGGGGATGGCAATTGTAAGTTTATCCTACTAATATTTTTTTCTGTTAGAGAAAATAAATAGGATTTCTTTTGAAGGAAGTGACATAAATTTAAATAATCTCTGTTTTGACAGAATGTATTAAGTGGTTTGTGACATTCTAGTTATATATTTGAGAATTTCTGTGGTGCTTAACTAGCATTTATGGAAATCAGATAACTCTTGAGTGGCAGAACAATGCTTTAAAGGAAAATAATTATACTTCAGTTAGACATGTGGCTTAAAGTCATTTTAGGGATAAACTACATGATTTGCTGTTTAAAATTACCAGGTAGAAATATGAAGTGTGAAATGGAAAAACCTATTGTTTTGATTGTAAATATTAATGTTATCATTTTGAATAACTAGAAAGTATTTGATCCAAGTACTTAATTTCTTATCAATAATTACACACTATGAAGGTATATTCTAGTTGTATGAGATGAATATGGATGGGATCCTTATCCTTGCGAATCTCCTTCATCAGTTAGGAAAGGAAGGATGTTAGTTTATATGCATTATTTTTTAGAAGACAGAAGCTACTGAACATGTTGCAGAGTCATATATTGGAAATAGTCTAATTGCTGTTCTCATAGAAAGTGATCCTTGGGCCTGGGGTGGTATGGAGGAATCTGACTGCCGGATGTGAAAAAGCACCCAGAGCTGCATGATATGGATCAGGAGCTGGAGGCATATTGTCATGGGGTGTTGCTTTAGTAATGATTCCTGTTTAATCTCAAGATTATTTGTATCCTACTTTTTCTTCATGTATGTATTAACTAAAAGGAGTACCATTGTTATGAAGGTGAGCAATATGTGGATATGTATCATCCCATTTAAAAAAAAATGCCTTGGTATTTGTAAACATTTGACCATTTCATAGGAATGTTCGCTGGAGTGATAACCTTGATTGTCTGACTTCAGAGTCATGGTTGTTACTGATGGGCTGGTTTTCAGAAATGTGACCAGTGAAATAGTTGTCCTTGGTCTATTTAAAACTCACTCTGAGAATTATTGTTTTCATGGTCACAGAACAATCAATCATTTCCTAAAAGTATGGGAATTTAAAAAAAAATTTTTTTTTAAGGTTTCTATGGTCTTGTTTTTATTGTATGTTTTGTTGTTTCTGTTAATTCTATATACATTTTTAAAAATTCCTTTTTAAAATATATATATATGTTTTTATTGATTTCAGAGAAAGGATAGGAGAAGGAGAGAGAGATGGAAACATCAGTGGTGAGAAAGAATCCTCTATAAGCTGTCTCCTGGAAGCCCACACCCCCTTTTGTTTAATGAGCCAGCAACTGGGTCCTGTGCCCTGACCAGGAATGAAACTATGACCTCCTGGTTTATGGGTCCATGCTTAACTACAAGGAAACACTGGCTGAGCCCTATATACATTTTAAATAGCATAAGGCATTCTCATTGTTATATATTGGCAGTGTTTGTATTTACTTATATCTAAAGTATTTATGCTTCTTATTGCTTTTTACTCCTTTCCACATTTCTCAGTTCCTTGAAGAACAATGTCCTTTAGTATTTCCTTATGTGTGGAGGTGATGGTGATAAGATCTCAGAGTTTTTAAATATAGAAATGTTATATCACTTCATTTTTGAACAATATATTTGTTGAGTGAAGAATTCTAGATTGGCACTTTCTTTTAGATTTATTTGTTTTAAGAGGAATGACTTTAGGAAAACCACCTAAGTAACCTACTTTTTGCAGAATTATACTTCTCTTTGAAAGAAATCTCATTAGGAATGAAGTATTCTCGATCAATTACTAATTGCTATTTTTTTAAAAATTATTTATTGCTTGTATTACGTATAGTATTACAAATGTCTCCTTTTCCCCCTGTTGACCTCTCCCTAGCCATTCTTACTCCCCAAGTGTCTGTGTCCATTGGTTATGCTTATATGCATGCATGCAAGTCCTTTGGTTGATCGCTTATGCCCCACTCCCTCCCCTATCTTCCTTCTGAAGTTTGATGGTCTATTCAGTGTTACTCTGTCTCTGGCTCTATTTTTGTTCAGAGGTTTATGTTTGTTCATTATATTCCACAAATGAGTGAGATCATGTGATACTTACCTTTCTCCGACTGGCTTCTTTCACTTAGCTCTCCATGTCCATCCATGCTGTTGCGAATGGGAAGAGTTCTTTCTTTTTTGCAGCCACATACTATTCCATTGTGTAGATGTACCACAGTTTTTTAATCTACTCATCTACTGATGGGCACTTAGGCTGTTTCCAAATCTTAGCTTTTGTAAAGTGTGCTGCTATGAACATAGGGATGCATATGTCCTTTCTAATTGGAGTTTCTGATTTCTTGGATATATTCCTAGAAGTGGGATTACTGGGTCAAATGAAGTTCCATTTTTAATTTTTTGAGGAAACTCCATACTGTTCTCCACAGTGGCTGCTCCAGTCTGCATTCCCACCAGCAGTGCACGAGGGTTCCTTTTTCTCCACATCCTCACCAGCACTTGTTGTTTGTCGATTTGTTGATGGCAGCCATTTTGACAGGTGTGAGATGGTATCTCATTGTTATTCTGATTTGCATCTCTCAGATGATCAGTGACTTTGAGCATGTTTTCATGTCTCATGGCCTTCTATATGTCCACTTTCGGAGAGTGTCTGTTTAAGTCTTTTGCCCATTTTTTGATTGGATTGTTTATCTTCCTTTTGTTGAGGTGTATGAGTTCCCTATAAGTTTTAGAGATTAGGCCCTTATCAGATATGACATTTGCAAATACGTTCTCCCATGCAGTGGACTTTCTTGTTTTGTTGATGGTTTCAACTTTTGTTGTGCAAATTACTATCTATTTTTGATCAAATGTTTCCTTGAAGACTAAAGGCAAAGAAAACAAGCCAAATTTGATTAAGTTGCATAATTTTTAAAAACCATTGAAGTTTGAGGAATTTTAAGGTTGCTGCAGAGTGGTGAAAGCTACACTCACCTGCTCCTGGTACCAAACCAGATTTATAGCTAAATTATAGAGCAGTCAACCCGAAATACCAGCTGAAGGCTAGCTGTACTGAAATATAACCAAGGATTTATAGAAGTCTGGTAAGAAGGACTGAGATGTGAAAAGGGCTGGTCACTGCACCCATGTGTGGCAGCAGAGAAGCTGGAGGTATATTTCCGCTGCAAAATTCCCTTCCCTCAGGAGTGTGGGGTCTCAACTCCATGCAGGGATCCCCATCCCAGAGCAGTGGAGATGGAAAGATGAGCCTTCATAGCATCTATTGTTGCAGCACCAGCCTGGAGAGTGCATTGCCCCATCCTCCAGCTATTGGCAACACCACTCTGCTGTGCTCATGTCCTGCAGAGGGGTCTTTTGGCTGCACCCACTAGGGACCTTTTGGGTATTCTTTTGCTGGAGAAGCTCTTGGTGGAAACTCAGATAGTGATTGATTGTGTAGCTCTGGAAATGGGTCCATTCTCCCCCACCTTGAGTGCACAGGTGTTGTGGCCACACCTACTTGTTGAATCACTGGGCCTGCCCTACCTCTCTGTTGACCCACCCTGTTGAGTTCAGCTGGGCAGGGGGATTAGAGTACCATGCAGAGCTGGGATTTTCAGAGTATCTCATGGGGAGGCATTTGTCTGGGAATCAGACAGGCCAGTGCTGGGTTGTGTGGCTATATCACGGGGTAGAGCACTCCTATCTCCCCTTCAAGCTCAGCTCATGTAATCCTGGGAAGGGGAAGAAATGCCTTACCCGTCTCCTACAGGCTTGCCAGCAACACCCCAAATGGGAGATTGTTTAGATTGGCCATCCCAAGTCCCAGTGGCTCCATCTGGCTGGACTCAGTTCTGTGAAGGGAAGGGCGTGCTGTTCAGAGCTGGGACACCCAGTGTGTCTCCCTGAGAGGCTCTTGTCTGGGTCCAGGCCTAATGCTTGGCCCCCCTAATGCCTGACTGCAGCTCCAACATCCCACTAGCCCTGTCCTGACCGTGGCCACCCTGTCCTGCAGCTCAGGATTTAAGGAAGGGTCTGTGCATTACAGCCAGCCTGTGCCACTCTACAGTCTTTCTTTGGAAGGCTCTAGAGTAGGGGTGTCGAACTCAATCAGAGAAGGGGCCAAAATCTGAAATCCAGCCTAAATCGCGGGCCGAATGGTTTACTGAACAG